GTACCTAAACAAAGGAGCTCATAAATTAATTTTACTTGTCGGCGGGATAAAAATGTAACAATACTCTGTATGAATTAAGTGGCTAAAATGTTTTACATACTCCGACTATGGGCCACTCATTCATAAGCTTTTATGGCTCTATCTACGCTCCACATCGGTAGATGCTATCGGGCTGTCACTTTCTGGGCCTCTGGGGGTTTCACTTTGGCCAAGTTCAATTAGCACTTGTTGCATAATTAAAAGTGACAACAAGTTCCCCCGGCTTCGATCGCTGGGCGCCACTTTGGAGCTCGCCAAGGTGTGAACTGCTAATGGGGCACAAATATCGTGGCACTAGCGTCTAAACTTGGTCGGGTGAGAAAAGCAAATACCACCTTGCCGCCTTGCCTCCCACCAAACATCAGTGACGCCACACGGTAGATCCGTATTTGCGGCTGCATTCGAGAGCTTGACTCAATGATAATCGGAGGTGACGTCATTTGTCAACCTGCTGACAGCCGGCCGATAGGTAAATGCATTTTCCATTTAGCGCCATTGAATCACTGATTGAATGGAAGTGAATTGAAGCTATAAATCAAATCGAGTGCCCGTGGCGAATAGTTTGGCATCCGTAGAACAGAATGATACGATCATTCCATCACCTGGGGAAAGGTCAGAGTTCAGTGTCGGGATGGGGGCGTGGGTGTGGAGCCGCAATGGGCCCCCTAATGGGCGAGGCATAACCACTTTGTTGGCATCTTAATAACCATAATAACTATTTGAATCAATTACGAAAATATGCAAAGATCGGTCTAATATACGAAGCGTGTCAATTGCGCATAAATAAGCATTTAACGTTTATTTTTTTTCCTCTAGCTTGTAGATTCTAGTGAAATGACCTTAACCGCCGATATATTCAGTTAGGAGTGCGTATATATCAAAACGATGACGGAGCGATCCAATGTAGAATGCAAACTGCTTGTGATGCAATTTACATTTTAATTGGCCAGAGTTTCGTTGTTAGCCCGGCCAATCCATTTAAATGGCGCTTTGCCTAATGACAACGTCACGTTCCAGCCTACAGTGCTACCTGGCTAACACTTCCCCCCCTTTCAAAATCGTGCTATGCAAATGACCGAGCTGCGTTTATAGTTTCATTGATTATGTTAATACTTGGCAAGTCGTAAAATCTATGAGAATTATGTTAATGCAAATCAGATCGGCGACACAACAATCGAAAGTATAGCAAAGTTAGCTGTTTTGAATTGGAGGGTGGAATTATTTTAGAGGTCCAAATACCTCAAACCTCAGACCAGGCATGGCTTACCTGACAAAAGTTCAAAATCCCCAAACACAAAACCCGAAACCCAACCATCCCGCAAACAGAGATAAATATGACATCACCTGGACAAGACCAGTAGCTACATGACGGGCTCACTCACCTTCGTCAGGTGTGCGTATGTTACCGACTATGTTTTTGTTATTATTATTATTATTCTGTTTTTATTTTTTTTGTTATAATTCGAAAGGCGGTGAAGGAGGGGGAGGTGCCGGAACTGGACCGGACCGAGTGCTGATTGCGTGTTTGGCTTGAAAAACTGACAAATTTATGAGATTAGCGGAGATGTGAATACCAAAATCACGGATACTGCTGTATCTGCTCTTATGTAGATGCTCTTGGGCAAAGGGGTGTTGTGTTACAGATTGCTCGACTTCCAGTCAAAACGGTGCTTCCTGCCCGAATTCTGGTTAACCTTAGAACCATCCAACAAATTTACATAAACCCATTTACGGCCAATGGGCTTTGATCAGCACTTTTTGCGCCGCGATCGTAGCGATATCCGATCCCTTTCAGGGGTTACACTAAAATCAAAAGAGAGTGCATTCAGAAAACCATTTGGCAGCCGTCTTGGCCGGGCAATGCGTTCAAGTTCACGGTCAGTAGAGCAAAATACACAGAACTAGAATAACATGTTCCCCTGGTTGTTGCTAATGCCGAAAGTAAACATCGCCAGGCGTAGGAATTCCAGCTGCGGATCGCGAGCAAGACGCAATCCCCCGAGCTCTGGACTGTCTATTTGCATAGAAAACAACAACCGACCTGAGATACAAATATTGTTAAATGCACCGTATCCGTAGACCACCTCTTTCTTCCGCGATGATCGATTGCATTCGTGGCGGTGTTGTCTGTTGTTTTATTTCTATCTTTTTTGGTTGTACTTTTTTTTTTTTTGGGTTTTGGGTGAAATGCATCGTGTCGGTCAGGATTTTAGATGGCGTGACTGGGTTCAGTTGCTGGATTTAGTATCTGGTGAAGGCATCTGCTCTGCACCCACGAACTGCCATCAGCGCTTTTAGGCAGACCTGATCTTGGCTCCAAAGTGGCACAACATCTTCCCGACTTTCTAGTGCGTTTTATGAAAAATGCAAGTACGCTTAGAGATCTTAGATTTCGGCTCTTGGATCGTGGCTAAACATTTTTATTAATTTTGAGTAATTTATATTCTGGATGTCTACTTTCTTTCTCTGATAATGTTTTTATAGAAGATACTAAACTTTATCAGATACTGTGTATAAGTAGGTTAGAAGAGCTTTTCTTTGGATTACCCCTGCTTATCTGATTAGTCTCGGTAAATGATTGAGGTGGTAGAGTTCAAAGTATTTCAACTTTAAGCCCTGCCTCATATTTAAGCGGATATCTCCCAAAGTCCCATGGCTATAAGACGCTAATTGTTTGTTGGTTGTTTACTGTTTGTCCAACCCGATAATTTTACAGGTACGAGTATATAGCTCTGATAGCTGTCAGAGTCAGTCCCACCTGTTGTTTTTTGCCGACTCGGATATCGGCTTGTGGGCGAACACTCGTTAACCGCAAATCCAGAGACAATCCATCTGATATCGGTTTCCCGCCAGGCCACGCATTCAATTACCATTTCAACACATTCGATCGCTTGTCGCTCGACTGGATTGACTTTGTTTGTCTTGATGCAAGTCTATTGCCCAAATCACCGAATCTCTCTCACCTGCTGCAGACAATTCAATTGGCAATCACAGCCACCAATCTAAGATACACTAGCACTTCGGATTCAAATAGCAATCGATTGAAATTAGCGTCAATTTTTGGTTTAAGACGTGATCTCTGATCCGCACACGGGTTTGCTGTCGCGACAGATTTGGAACTCCGACTGAGACTGAGATTCTGGCTGGCCACTGAGCCAAGTTAACGACTGAGGACTGTGAGCTGTGGGGAACCGAAAATACGAGTGCAACTCCAAAAGCCGACAACGCCAGCCGACAGCCAGGCGGCGGTAAACGGCGGACGGCTTCCACTTTTCGCCGAGTTAACGAAAAATCTTTAACAATTAAATTTCAGACAAAAGACTTCAGGCCGTGTATAACGACGAGTACAGTTCAAATTAGGGATGTCGGAAATATATCAAATTATCGATATATCGATATATTTTCTCTTAAAAAAATATTATTATCGTGATATTTTTTGGGCAAAAATAGTCGATAATAATATTTTTGAGTTGGTGTTCTCCGATATTTGTTGCGAAAGAAAGGAAATGCAGGTTTACTTGAGTATGCCATTTTGTAGTTGGGAGACAAATCCGTTGGAATTCTGGAACTCACAAATTTCAACGATGCCGATGCTAGCGAAGGTTGCTTTAAGTTTTCTTATCACGCCTGGAAGTTCGGTTTCATCTGAACGGTTGGCTTCTGCCATTAAATGTATTGTCTGTGACTCCCGTAGTCGAATGACAGACCAGCATATAACCGAAAGAGTTTTTTTTAAATCATTGAAGAAAGATTTATTTTGTAATTAAGAGTAATTAAGAGCATTAAATAAGAGAATTAAGTAATTAGAATTATTAAGTACATATTCCATGAATTCCATGAAACTTTTTTTTTGTATTAAGTTTTTTTATAAATAAATTTGAATACAATGTCCTTAATAATTTTGTTATTTTTTATTTCAAAGAACTTAAATAAAAGTTGCTTGAGAGTGGGTATAAATATTTGTTGTTTTTTCAATTCACTTTTTAAATAAAAAAATATGTCTTATTTGCAGTTCATGGCGGATGAAAACACATATTAAAACCTTTTTTAAATTTAAAAATAACCTTTTTCAAATTTAGCTGACTATAAAAATATCGAAAATACTCGATATATCGATTTTTTTGGGTGATATTTCTGAATATTATCGATTGATATTTTTTTCACAGCAAATATCATCAATACGATATTTTTTCAAAAACCAACAACCCTAGTTCAAATACCAACAATTATTGATACATATAGCTGAGCAGTTTTTAAAAAATATTTTTAGATATTAAATTTAATGTTAAACCTTGCATAAACCATCTTTTCGCTCATCATCATCTGGTGACATCCATAGAGTGTCTCGGGTTATTGATATCGATGATGCAAGGACATTGCCTTGACAATACTGAATACTGTTCCTTAATTGCGTAAGCTACATATGAGAAAAAAATTAAGCTTAATTGTTTTGGGGTAGCTGCGCCTTCGTCTCGACTCACTTCATGTCAAGCGCATTTAAATAAATTCATCCGAATGAGTAAACCCATAAACACAAAATACACAACCCAATTGCAACTCAAAGTCAGCCGCGAGTGAAGGAGCTGTGCTCCACATGCGTGTGGGTGTCTACAAGTCTATTGATTCCCATCTGCTGGCAATGCCAGTGCTTGAACCTGACATTCAGCGAATTCATATTTATATTCCCCGCCACATTTAGCCGGCAGTGACAGCAGCTCTCCGACTTGGCAGCAAATCGATGCGATCGTCAGTTTCTGTATCTGTAGATCTATGTATCTGTATCTGCAAGTGCGAGTGCGCCTGTGCTGATGCGTTTTAAATTGATGTCAATTTGGCAGACAGTCCCCGCCAACAGTGGGGCAGATGCAATAAATTATGAGAGTAAGTCGATTTGATTATTGATTTCCCGCCAGTGCCCCCCGATCGAATCAAAGTCGAATTGTGATTGAATTCTTTTGCAAATACTCTATGTTTTAATGAATTTTAAAGGAAAGCCCCTTCTATTTGTTGTCTTTGTTGCAGAGGGTGATGCCATCGCCGATGCAGGCGGCATAAGCCATCAAGTGAGGAATGGTGCTCTGCTGCATGACGCCGGTGAAGAGATGGGCCTGAGGACCAGTGGCAAAGATGCCCACATCGTCGCCGGCATGCACACCGATTTTGGCAGGAATATAACTGGGAGCAATGAAGTCTGAAAAAAGGGAGAGGTGCTTACTTCCTATCTAACAAAATGAGGTAAACCCATCTTACCATCTTCCAAAATCTTTTCCGAGAGATCAATGCGCTGGCCTTGTTCATCCAGATACTGCTCCAGACCCACGGCATAGTTCAGGGTGGCGTACTTCACACCATTCTTGTCAGTGTCATCTTGATTGAGGCCCAGGATGGGAGTGCCTCTGCCGGGGTACCCAGCAATGGTCAGCGGATGGGCATGGTCAGAGGTTACAACGATGAGGGTCTCCTCGGGGTTAGTTATGCGCTGAGCTACAGCCACGGCCTTCTCCAGCTCCAGCGTCTCGTCCAGCGAGTACTTGGGAGAGTTGAAGTGGTTTCCATAATCGATCAATCCTCCCTCAATAAAGATGAAGTATCCATTTTCGTTCTGGCTCACTACCTCGATGGCCTTTTCGGTCATCTCCGCTAGTGTGGGCTCCTCCGACGCATTGGCCATTTTGTGAAAGCTCATCACGCCCGAGCGGAAGGTGCCAATCAGGTTGGTGATCTTCGAGGCATTCACACTAAGGAGCTGGTTTCGGTTGTAGGCCAAGACTCCGCCGGGATGTAGTCCTTGCCAGCGGGACAGGAGGTTAACTCCATCTGATCGCTCGCCCTTCTTTTCGAAAGGATCGGTGATGGTGTTGGGCAAGAATTTGCCGATTCCACCGCCCAACATCACGTCAAAGTTCTTGCCAGGAGCCTGGGTGATCAGCTGGGTGGCAATGTCCGTGCAGGACTCCGGGAAGTTCTGGCCCTCGCCGTAGGTCACGATGTCGGTGTCACTCTCGAAGAAGCGGTTGGTGGTGTGAGCGTAGGCTCCCGATGGACTGGCATGGGTCAGAGTGGTGGTGGTGACGATGCCACTAGCTTTGCCGGCAGCCTGGGCCCAGGTGGCAATGGAGGGGATTTGGTTGGCAGGATCCTCGCTTCCACTGCAGTTGTTGAAGTTTACGGCGGCAGTCACACCCAGAGCTACGATATTGGTCTTGACACCGCACAAGTAGGCGGTGGCGGTGCAGGCTGAGTCGGCCACTTGGGCATTGGAGCAGTAGGTCTGTGAAAGTAAGAGAAAAATGAAATATGAAGACCAAATAGTAGGTTAATCCTCCTACCTTGCTCAGACCAGTGTAGGGGAACTGTTCAAAGCTGAGGCCATCCTCCTCTCCGGGATTACCCTTCAGCTGACCCTTATGGATTCGGGCTGCTGCCACTGTGGACAAGGACATGCCGTCTCCAAGGAAAAGGATTACATTCTTGGCCTTCCTCGTGTCAAGCTGCGGCTGCTCCAGGCGTTTCAGAATCTCTTCCTGGGCCAGATCATACCAGAACTGGGCGGACTTCTCCTCCTCGGGTCCGGTCTTTCCCTTTCCCAAGGCATTGGGGTCAATGAGATTGCTTTCGCGGGCCTTACTGAAACTCGCAGATGGTCCAATCAATTGGGATTGGGAGTGGATCTCGGTCACTAAATGAACAATATTGTCAAGATAAAACTCTGAGCGTAAACTGCATAAAACACTCACGGTCTATGGTGGCAGACAGGGAACTGACCACCAAGGCACTCAGAACCAGAATAGTTCCAATAAAGATCTTCATGTTCCAGGCGTACCTCTTCCGCCCAGGGTTAGCGATAGAATTAACACCATGGGCCTTCTGTCTGCTATTTATTCGCCGTTTGGAGTTATCCTTATCGGGGACTGTCATATCTGGCTAACCATCACATAATCTGGTTAAACACCAAAGCTTGCTAAAAATCACCGTTTATGATTGCTATTTACCCAGCTTTGTATTATTTAGAGATCTTAATTTTTTATTATTTTATGTTTATGGATGGGGTTAGAGCCGAAAAGGCCCGGCTACCAGACCGAAGAGGACCTGGACCAATGGGAATTCGTTGATAAACGAATATGCTTCGGGCTATGAATGTGGGCACGACACCAAAAAATTTGTTGGAACAACTGGACCCACACTGGAACCAAGGTGAATCTGGGGGGACAGGTGCTGATTTCTAATTGAGGGTTTCCATCAGCATGATATTAAAATAATATAGGGATTATCTTATGTACAGACACGTTGTCTGATAAAACAGGAACAATAAAGGTCACGCAAGCGAAAAAATGTTTCCTTTTTTGGGGTATTTCGGGGTGCATCTGTACTATACTACTTGAATAGAATACTAAGCAATTTATATTTATATAACATATCTGTAAAATGTATATATTTTTAAATAAAACAAGAAAATATGTTATATCTACGGCAATTCGGATAATATTTGAAGTGTTATGAAGGCCTATTTATACCACATCGAAGTTAAATAAAGATATCTCATTAAAGTATTATGAAACGAGTATTTAAAATTTATTTCAGGTCAATATATAGGCCAGGCAAATGATATATTATATTATATTATTTTTCCTTTATATATATTCAAAATTAAGAAGAGAAGGTGCATATACGATTGCTTAAAACATTTTTATTTAAATTTTATAACCATTATATTGTCAAAATTACTCATTTTTGTTCATTTTTTTCCTGAGGTTACTATTTAAAAGATAATCATGATAAAGTCCTCTAATCTGTCTGGTCGCACACCTTCTGGCCACTGCCAATACAAGCGGCGTAGGCCATCAGGTGGGGAATAGTGCTCTGCTGCATCACGCCGGTAAAGAGATGAGCTTGGGGACCGGAGGCAAAGACGCCCACATCCTCACCGGAGTGGACGCCCTGATCCTTGGAAATGTAGCTGGGGAAGATGGCCTCCTGATCCTCTCCGAGGATGTCTTCCAAGTCGATGCGCTGGCCCTCATCGTCCAGATACTGGTTGGGACCAGCGGCGTAGTTAAGCACTGAGTACTTCACTCCGTTCAGATCCACGTCGTGCTGGTTGATGCCCAAGATGTTGGTACCTCTGCCAGGGTAACCGGCAATACTGACGGCATGACCGTGATCGGCGGTAACCACTATGAGGGTTTCCTCGGGGTCGGTGATGTCACGAGCCAGTTGGATGGCCTTCTCGAACTCCAAGCACTCATCCAGGGCATAGCCAGCCTGGGTATAGTGGTTGCCATAATCAATGAGACCGCCTGAAAAGTATTTAAAAATAAGTAACTAATTTTTAATAATTATAAATCAAGAAAACCCACCTTCAATAAAGGCAAAGTAACCATTCTCGTTCTGGCTCAACTTATTGATGGTCACTTCGGTGAGTTCGGAGAGAGTGGGCTGGTAGGTGGCATCGGCATCCAGGTGGAAGTTCATCAGCTTGGATTGGAAGAGACCAATAATGCTGGACACGGCAGAGGTATTGACGCTGAGGAGCTGCTTCCTGTTGGTGACCAAAACACCTCCATCGTGCTGTGCCTGCCAGCGGGAAAGGAGATTAACGCCGTCGGATCGCTCGCCGACATTTCCGTGGCTATCCTCAATGGAGCTGGGCAGGAATTTTCCCATGCCACCACCGAACATGATGTCGAAGTTCTTGCCGGGCACCTGGGTAATCAGTTGGGTGGCCATGTCAATGCAGGTGCTGGGATCTACTCCGTAGCTAGCGACATCGGTATCGGACTCCCACATCCTGTTGGCAGTCTTGGCATAAGCTCCCGATGGACTAGCATGGGTCAGGGAAGTGGTGGTCACAATGCCCGTGGACTTGCCAGCGTTCTGAGCCCACTCGGCAATGGAGGTCAAGCGGTTGGCCGGGTCCTGGCTGGCCGTGCAGTTGTTGTAGTTCACGGCGGCACTTACTCCAATGTTGACAATGTTGGTCTTAACACCACACAGGTAGGCGGTGGCCGTGCAGGCGGAGTCGGGCACTTGGGCATTAGCACAGTAGGTCTGGATAGTAGTTACACCTTTAGAACACCCGAATAACTATAAACAAGAATACCATGTCTTACCCTGCTGAGTCCGGTGTAGGGGAATTGCTCAAAGCTCAGAGAGGACTCTTCGCCAGTCTTTCCCTGTCGCTGGCCCTTAAGGATACGAGCGGCTGCGATTGTGGAAATTGGCATACCGTCACCCAAAAACATGATTATGTTCTTGGCCTTCTTGGTGTTGGGCTGGGGTAGTTGGAGGCGCTTGGTAATTTCTGCATCGGCGTTTTTGTACCAGAACTCGGGATCCATTTCCTCGGGAGGAGTGTACTTGTCGGTAGCCACATCGGTGGAGAATCTATACTTTTGAGTTGCTTTTCCCGTCAGCTCCAATACGTTATGGATCTCCTCGACTCCGGCAAGAGCCAACCCGGCCAAGGCCAGGAGTCCCACGAGTGGGAGGATAAGGTGCTTCTGGGAGGAAAGCATCTTTCAATTGCTTAGCTGTTGGTGAAATATCACTGACTACACCGAATCGAGCGGATGCCACGGGTTTATATCGCATACGGCGATTCGTGTGCCATATTACGGTTTACTGTACGTCTGCTCCTAACGGGTGGATCTAAATTTAGGTTTACACTCCCCCACTTTATGGCGCCTGGGACTTATCTCCGTTTCGTATGTCTGCCCTATCTCTGACTAAATCATCCGAACTTTGCATGATGCCTCGACCGTTAGGGAAGGGTCTCTCAAGCAGTAGCCTTAGCTTGGAGGAGTAGTGCCACTATTTTATTACCCCTATCTAAGTATTTCTTCCTCGTCTAATAAAATCTATATGGTTAGGTCATAGTTGTGTGATTTTCATTGGACCTCTGTACTTGGTAGTATGAAAAACGCCATTTCTCCATCTGACCAAATATCTGAATCAGTGAAGTCACGTTTGAGATAGTAAACTCATGGGGATGATCCCATGACGCTAATCTACGTGGAACGTGTGAGGACTTATCGCAGAAAATTTTGCATTTCATTTTCGTACAATTGAACCGTTTTTTTTGGACACATGTTTTGGATAAGTGTTAGAGAAAGTTATTCTGTTTTTATCACAGCAGGTTCTCAAATAAATAGGCTAATATAAATTCCTACTTGCTGAAAACGTGGGAGGATTTATCTTCAAATTTTTTGAATTTCATTTCCGTTGTGCATCTCGTGAGGGAGGATTAAAGAAAGTTGTTATTGTTTAATCTAGATTCTAGAATCTTGTTTTCTCAAGAAAATCTTATTGCAAAATAGGCATTAAGTTATGATACCTTTACAGCTTTGCCTTTCAGATGCCTTTTGTTTTTTAAATCAGAATAAAATTGGCATTTACTAAAATTGTAATGCCTATTTTTAAAATTTTTGTAGAAAACCAATTCTTATTATGGTTTTAGAAGATACTGCAGCAGGTTGCGCTTAGGGGATCATATTTTGTCACCACCATGTTCAAGCGGAGTTGCACCCTTTTGGAAGGCATACCAAAGATACAGGTGGCTCAATGGCTGGCCAAGATAGATACCTTCATCTTTGGAACGAATGGCATACTTTGGAATGGAAATGAGCCCGTTGAGAACGCCATCGACACCTTCAACATGCTCAAGATGAAGGGAAAGCAAGTTCTGATAGTCACCAACGATTCCATGCTACAGTCTTCGGAGTTGGTAAAAAAGGCCAAAAATATGGGATTCCTTGTCGAGAAGAACGAAGTCCTGACAGCGGCGGGCTTAGTGATAAATTTTCTAAAAGATCAGGGCATCGAGGGGAAGGTGCTGGTGTGCGGTAGTAAATGCTTGGAGCTTGAGATAATGAACGCAGGTTTTTGCACTGACGTTGACAACCTCATCCCGGAGGGAAAAACCGCCTTCGAACAGGCCCAGAATACTATTATTGATAAGAAAGTTAGTGTTGTGCTGATTGGGCAGGACTGCGATATGGATTCCAAAAAAATGATCGTAGCCTGTAACTATCTTCTTAACACAAACGTTCTTTTGGTGGCCACCAGCATGGATAAATTTGTTACTGCGGGAAAATACCGGATACCCGATGCCGGCTGCTTAGTGGAAGCCATTAAGTCTGTAATCCATCGAAACCCGATTATATTAGGCAAGCCGAACCCTCAAATTTTAGGCGACTTGGCCTCCAAAATTAAGCCGGATAAGACACTCGTCATAGGAAACTCGTAAGGGTTTGAATCAATTTGAAACAAGAAGTAATAAATATTTTATTTACAGGTTAAAGTCGGACATCCTCTTTGCAAACTTGTGTAATTTTCAGTCTCTACTAATTGGATGTGAAAACGGAAAGCTGGACAAAATCTATAAAATTGTAAAGGAAAAGAATAAATTTAAAATGGGTCTAGTTCCGGATACTTTCCTGTCCCGACTTTCTCTATTCATGCAATTTCTGTGCGCCGATCTTCAAACCGAGGACGATGAAAAGAAAAAATCTAAGCAATGCGATTGATAAAAGCCGCAACAACAACAAAAAAGAACTCCAACCAAAGCAAAGAAAAATCCTTACATTTAAATTTGACAAAATATGGCGCCCTTAATGGACGAACTTTACAACACGGACAACCATGCTGCAGTATATTGAAAACATTTTGATACGATTTAAAAATCTATGTCTTATCAAATTTTAAAATATAAATTAAGTGTGTAAAATTTAAAATCTTTCTTATTTTATGGAAGTAAGGGCTGCTAAAGAAGCAAGTCTCAATCTTATTCGAATTTTTTTTCGATCTTTGCAGCACTAAAAAAATGTCCACAGCGCCACCTAGCGGAGTGTTGTTTTGTGTTGCCCAGCCCTGCAGCCATTGTCCAACACTAGACAAGTACATTGGCCAAACAGGTACTTTCCAACACTTCATAAGTACAAAGAAAGAAAAACAAAATGTTCTCTGCAAAAGCTGTGCTCGCTTAAAGCAATAAGGTAGCGACAATTTGGCCCGTGCCCTCGCGCTTGTAATCGCATAATCATTACCGATTGGTGTGTGAGTGTTCTATTAATACGGCGATGAAAATAAACTGCAGGCAAACACCTTGAGCTGAGTGCAACGGCTCTGCCAGAGTGTGTGTGCGTGCGTGCGCCTGTGTGTGCGTGAGTGTGTGTGTGTGTGTATATGTATATATATATGTATGTGGATAAACGAAAATAAAACGGACCACCACTCCTCCCCTGCAAAGCTCCCCTGCACGGAACTGCAACTGCATCGCACTTAATCCAGATCTCCCATCTCTCCACAACCCCCTTCTGTGGTTACTGCTACGGCTACGGCTACGGGTGCTTCTGCTGCTCCTGTTCATCATCCACCTCCAGCGAAAAGGACAGAAACAACAACCACCAGCGCCCTTACAACAACTGTTACAAAATAGCCACCCCGCAACCCCCGTTTACAGGACGCACACACACATCGCCCGCTGCTGGTGTCCTTTCTCAATCTCTCAATCGACTCAGAAGCCCCGATCCGCCAGGATGGACTCCGACATCGAAATGGATCTGGAATCGGACAACGATGGGGAGTACGACGATGACTACGATTACTACAATACAGGTGAGAGAGAGAGAGCTCCCAATGGAAGCTCCCAATCGAAAGGGATTCCTCCTAACAACAATCAGCCACCATCGATTTAACTAAGGTGGATCTGTAAGGAAATACACACGCTAGAGCTAGAGTATATAGGGTATCTCTGTATGAGTGTCGTGTTGGTTGGTTATTCACCTTTTTTGGGAGGCCAGAAGCCTAGGCCTAAAAATTTGCATTCGGCCTTCTGGTTGTTGGCCAGCACTTGACATTCGCCAAGGGTTCCTCCGCCAGGCCCCACCGGTCCACGCTCACCAAGCTCCCTTTGGTGGCCATGAAGCTGAAATTATGGAATTGAACTTGAAACAAACACACACGCGAAGTACATTGGTAGTTGCGGTGATTGCGCGAGGTTTTAGTTTCGTTTGGCCTGGCTTCATTATTGCCCGCTCCTCTGCTCACGTTTTTCTCAGGTAACACCGACACACCAACACACACACTCGCATAGCCCTAGCTCAGGTGAACTCAGGTGCGTGCTCAAGTACACGGCTGCATTTTGTTTTCCGTCTTCTGACCTGTCTTCCCTTTCTTGAGTCCAATTTCTTGGTAAGACCCATCACTGATAGGGCTGTTGCACTTTTATGGTAGCCTTGTAGAGAGAACCCACCACTTTCATCCCCAAATCACATTTGAGGCCAGAGAAGAGAATTTCAATTAACACTTTCTTTCTTTACAACGTTTCAGGCGAGGATTGCGATGTGGAGCGCCTGGATCCAAAGCGGGCCGATCCCGAGTACTTTGAGTACGAATGCCTCACCGTCGAGGACATCGAGAAGCTGCTGAACGAACGCGTGGAGAAGCTAAACACCATCCTGCAGATCACACCCTCCCTGGCCAAGGTACTGCTGCTAGAGCACCAGTGGAACAATCACGCCGTGGTGGAGAAGTACCGCCAGGATGCCAATGCGTTGCTGGTGACGGCGCGCATCAAGCCACCAACGGTGGCAGTGACGGACACGGCCTCCACGAGTGCAGCGGCAGCCAGCGCTCAGCTGCTGAGGCTGGGGAGCTGCGGGTACAAGACAACGGCCTCGAGTCCGCCACAATACCGCAGCCAGATGTGTCCCGTGTGTGCCAGTTCCCAGCTGGGCGACAAGTTCTACAGCTTGGCCTGCGGTCACTCGTTCTGCAAGGACTGCTGGACCATCTACTTCGAGACACAGATCTTCCAGGGCATCTCCACGCAAATAGGCTGCATGGCCCAGATGTGCAATGTGCGTGTGCCGGAGGATCTGGTGCTGACCCTGGTTACGCGACCGGTGATGCGCGACAAGTACCAGCAGTTCGCCTTCAAGGACTACGTGAAATCCCATCCAGAGCTGCGGTTCTGCCCGGGACCCAACTGCCAGATCATTGTGCAATCATCAGAGATCTCCGCCAAACGTGCCATCTGCAAGGTATGCCACACGGGCTTTTGCTTCCGGTGCGGCATGGACTACCACGCCCCCACCGACTGTCAGGTGATCAAGAAGTGGCTGACGAAGTGCGCCGACGACAGTGAAACGGCCAACTACATCAGCGCCCACACCAAAGACTGCCCCAAGTGTCACATCTGCATCGAGAAGAACGGCGGCTGCAACCACATGCAGTGCTTCAATTGCAAGCACGACTTCTGCTGGATGTGCCTGGGCGACTGGAAGACCCACGGGTCAGAATACTACGAGTGCTCCCGGTACAAGGACAACCCGAACATTGCCAACGAGTCGGTGCATGTGCAGGCGCGCGAGGCGCTCAAGAAATACCTTCACTACTACGAGCGCTGGGAGAACCACTCCAAGTCCCTCAAGCTCGAACAGCAGACGATCGACCGCCTGCGGCAGCGCATCAACTCCAAGGTGATGAACGGCAGCGGCACGTGGATCGACTGGCAGTATCTCTTCAACGCGGCGGCACTGCTGGCCAAGTGTCGTTACACCCTGCAGTACACCTATCCGTATGCCTACTACATGGAAGGCGGCTCGCGAAAGAATCTCTTTGAGTATCAGCAGGTGGATATTCTTAAATTCGTTTTTAAGAAAAGATATGAATAATTTTTCAATTTATTTTAGGCGCAACTGGAGGCGGAGATCGAAAACCTGTCGTGGAAAATCGAGCGAGCCGAGACGTCGGATTTGGGTGATCTCGAGAATCAAATGGACATCGCTGAAAAGCGCCGCACCACCCTACTCAAAGACTTCTTCCCAGTGGACACATAGGCAAGGGAAATGGCAATGGCAATGGCAATGGCAACGGCAACGATAAGCTTCCAGGACCACCAGAATGGATCAGAGTCGGATGGCTTGTCGAGTTTAGCACAAAAGTTGAGTTCATTGGCAGTTGACAAGCCGACAGAAGACGATACGACATAATAGAGACGCTTATTTAAACTAAATTATACAAACACACACACATTTAATTGTATCCATTTAGTGTTTAGCCTAACGACGAGTAGCTAATTTTTAAATTAATCTAATTGTAATAATCAAGTGCATATAGACTAGAGTTATAGCATATAGAGTATAGTCGACTACTTGAAGTATAATTAATTATAGTTGTGACATTCGAAATCACTCAAATGATCGGTTCAACTGCAATACAACGCCTTGCGCAGAACGTTAACGATAATAGATAGCTATAGCCCTAGCGATAGCGTTACCGGTAGCTATACCATAACTATAAACCTAGCAATGAATCCAGACGCATTTCAGTGGCCATGTGTTCCAACAGTTTTCCAAAACCTAGCCCAACCGACCCGACGATGTGCAGATATAGTTCTAAATTCATGCCGCCTCCAGTCTAGCATCCTAAGTTTTAAATCTCGTATTAACCCTGATCGGCCTGACTGGGGAGACTCGGCCGTTAACAGCATCAAGTATTCGTAATCTGTATCTCGTATCAATCGAAGGCAAACAAAATAAGTCTTGAATTTAAACGAAACTAGGTAATCCTTCTCTCCCCGGATCGGATCCCATTATACTCGATTCTCATTCGATTCTCGATTAAAGTTGTAAGCTGAATCATAAATTATATTCTAGGATTACGCTATGTATGTATATGCTTATGCGACTGAATTTGAATTAAATTTACACTAGATATATATCTATATATATGTATATAAATTTCTGATTTAGTTGCAACTGATTTGGGGGCTCTGGGCGGGCTGAAAGCTTGCTTTGTAAAGGAGCTTCGTTGAAGCTTTTAAGCATTTACGAGAGCTTGACTTGAGTTTCACTCTAAAGCTTGCAAGTATCTGAAACTTGAGTGAAAATATGAGATATTTTATTATCCTTTGTTTTTACTGAGTTCTTTATTTTATAATTTAGATTTAGGCTTTAAGCAATTTTTGTGCTCTTCCTGCTTTTCCTGCTTTTCCGACTCTTTCTAGTACTTTTCCTACTCTTCCGCTGATCCACATCCACTACCTTAGCAGCAGCCGCCTTCTCGGCCAGAGCTAGATAGTAAGCCATATTATGCAGACGGCACTCGGATCGCTCCTTGAGCAAGCTGTTGGCGAACTTGTGAGCTCCGGATATCTTGGTCACCTTGACATTGTTCATGTTCTCCACCTTCTTCATGGGATACACCTCGACGTCACAGCAGTTCTGCAGGAGCAGCAGGTCGCTGTTGTTCGTGATTGGATACCGGAAGTACAAGTCACGGCCGCAATCCAGGCACTTGTTCTTCAAACGCTTCAACCGGAATTTGCACGGAAAACAGCGTCCCACTATCGTGGTAGGATCAAGGACAACCGCGTTCTTATAAGTGGGCTTGGGACGAGGCCGCTTTGTCCACTAAGGAGGAAAAGTGGTTTCACAAAGATACATTAACCCTCTTGGAGTTGAGTTACCTCATCCAAATGCAAATACGTCTTAAGAGGCCGACACGCCGCACTGCAGAGATTGGGACTTATATTCTGCTCCTGGGCCACACACATGGTGCAGCATCGGAGCTTGTCCTTGTCCGACTCCAGGAGGGGCCTTGGCTTGCTGCATTCCGCATGGATGTTTATCTGCTGCCGAACAGGCCCATCCGGTTCGATGACGGCCTGTATGATATTGGCCTGTGGCTCTACCACACCCTCCGGAGGAACTGTTACCTTGTAGTCGATGCAGCGCCCCTTATTTGGCCCGGAGCACTTTGGATACGGAGTGGGAACCAAACTCTTGCTAAACCAGCGGTCACAACAGTTCTCCGGAGCAGGCATGGCGGCGATCCGAAAGGGAAATGTTCGAGACAAGAATTTGGAATGACCTTAGACGTCTAAGGTGTGGGACGACTGAATTTTTATTCAAAGCTAACAGATAGTTACAAAGTTACTACATAGAAGTCTAATTCTTACTTCTTACTATTAGATTGGACACTTTTTTCCTTCATTTCTATGTTGATTTCTTTTGGGCTCTCATCCTCATCGAATATCTTGAGATTCTTGGCATAATACCAAACGGCAATGTTCAGAAAACCAGCCACAAATATAAAAGAAGCGGCTGTTAGATTTAGGGAGTATCTGAAGAAAAAACAAAATTATTTAAAATGGTACAAGTGTAAAAATAATATTTTTGGTAACTCACCTTAAGGACTTGGTATCGTAGAGCCAACAGTTTCCTTTGTTGGAACAGGTCTTGCCCCAAACCAAGCAGTAGCTGTCTATCAGCCAGCCAAAGAAAATGGGACTAGGAATGAAGCTGAGTAGAGACGCCACCATGGAGCCCAGTCCCAGGGCAAAGGTTTTGTCCTCTTGAGAAATACATCGCAGGGCTATGAGTAGGTTTGTGGACTTGCTGGAGGCGCCAACGAGTTTCAGGAAACACATTACGGCCAAGAAAGTTAGGAACTGATTAAAACAGTCTACGGGACAGGTGCCATCCACGGCATAAAGGTGCTGAAATATCAGTGATTTCAAAATACAAGAAATCTTAGCAATTAATGGATATCTTACCTGAGGCTCAGATATCAAAGACGGGGAACTAATGCACTTGCAGCCAGTGTATATGGTCCTACCCAGGTCATCCATTGTCCGCTCGGAACATCCGGCATGACAGGCAGAGATGTAGGTGACATTTTCCGGGCTGCAAACGGGAGCATAATGCACATAATCACAGTGACATGAGGCACTGCAGCTATCACCAGCGAGCAATGTAGTCATAGAGTTCATCCTATCACTACCTTCGCATCCTATGGCCACATAGCACAGGATACCAGCCACCGTCATGAAGTCAACTATAGCATTCCAGGCGGCCATGGACCGAGCACTTGGCTTGTACCTTGAGATTATATACCCGGAGAGCAGAACTCCAGCGGCGGAAAATCCAAAAGCCACCGTCCCAGCGGCCATGGTAGCAGTGGCCGCCGATTGTCGGTACTGGGTTTCTATATACTTGGGGGTAAATATCCAATAGGCCATATAGCCAAAGAAATACAGAATGGAAGCCGCGGTGTTGAACACATACACTTTGTTCTTGGCCAGTCTTTTGACCGTTTTTAGCATATCGACGAAGGAGAGTTCTTTGAAATCATTGCTTTCTGTTTGCTTCACTTGGAGTCGTCGCTTCTTGGCACTGGGGAGCTCCTTGGGGAACATAAAAAGTATAATCGCAGAAAGCAGAGTAATGGCTGCCAAACAGAGCCAGCCCAACCACCACGCACCCAACCAGCGAGGGTCGGATGGTCCAATAAGAGGATCCAAGGTTGGTTCAATGTACAAACGCAGGCAAATAGTGGCCAGGGAGTAGCCGAAAATAGGTCCCAGCATCCTCAGGAAAGTTGACATGCCTTTAAATGTACATAATATAATATAGTGTAAACAAATATAGTATTACATATACAAATAAATTAAGAAAATTCGAAAACTTGTGATTCTTCCCTTGCAGAGGATATCGTACAAATTGGCAGACAACTATAGATCCTAAAGTGAACATCCTTATCAATAATTATCAGATTCCTAAGCGGCATACTTTTAACGATTCGTAGACTAATTCTCTGTTTATCTGCGTTAAAATCTAGAAACTAAATATTTTTCAGAATTTTTGTTACATTCTCTGGCTTTTAGGGCGTCCGATGGTATATTAACCACTGTGAATACCATATCTTAGCCAATATTGATCAGATTCTTGAGCGGAATACCTTAATCGATTCGTAGATCAATTCGCCATTATTCTGCGTCAAAATATAAAAACAAAACATTTTTTAGATTTTTTTGTCAAATTTTTTGGGCCATCCCCTTTAAAATGTGGAAAATGTTTGGGGAGCCCTATATAATCCACTGGGAAGACCATATCTTGGCCAATATTTATCAGATTCTTGAGCGGAATACCTTAATCGATTCGTGGATCGATTCGCCATTATTCTGCATCAAAATCTAAAAACAAAATATTTTTTAGATTTTTTGTCAAATTTTCTGGGCCATCACTTTTAAAATGTGGAAAATGGATGGGGAGCCCTATATGACCCACTGTGAATACCATATCTTAGCCAATATTGACCAGATTCTTGAGCGGAATACCTTAATCGATTCGTGGATCGATTCGCCATTATTCTGCATCAAAATATAGAAACAAAATATTTATTAGAGTTTTTGTCAAATTTTCTGGGCTATCCCCTTTAAAATGTGGAAAATGGATGGGGAGCCCTATATAATCCACTGTGAAGACCATATCTTGGCCACTATTTATCAGATTCTTGAGCCGAATACCTAAATCGATTCGTGGATCGATTCGCCATTATTCTGCATCAAAATCTAGAAAAAAAAATATTTTTTAGATTTTTTGTCAAATTTTCTGGGCTATCCCCTTTAAAATGTGGAAAATGGATGGGGAGCCCTATATAATCCACTGTGAAGACCATATCTTGGCCAATATTTATCAGATTCTTGAGCGGAATACCTTAATCGATTCGTGGATCGATTCGCCATTATTCTGCATAAAAACTAGAAACAAAATATTTTTTAGATTTTTTGTCAAATTTTCTGGCCCATCCCCTTTAAAATGCGGAAAATGGATGGGAAGCCCCATATGACCCACTGTGAAGACCATATCTTGGCCAATATTTATCAGATTCTTGAGCGGAATACCTTAATCGATTCGTGGATGGATTCGCCATTATTCTGCATCAAAATCTAGAAACAAAATATTTTTTAGATTTTTTGTCAAATTTTCTGGCCCATCCCCTTTAAAATGCGGAAAATGGATGGGAAGCCCCATATGACCCACTGTGAAGACCATATCTTGGCCAATATTTATCAGATTCTTGAGCGGAATACCTTAATCGATTCGTGGATCGATTCGCCATTATTCTGCATCAAAATATACAAACAAAATATTTTTTGGATTTTTTGTCAAATTTTCTGGGCCATCCCATTTAAAATGTGGAAAAGGGATGGGGAGCCCTATATAATTCACTGGGAAGACCATATCTTGGCCAATATTTATCAGATTCTTGAACGGAATACCTTAATCGATTCGTGGATGGATTCGCCATTATTCTGCATCAAAATCTAGAAACAAAATATTTTTTAGATTTTTTGTCAAATTTTCTGGCCCATCCCCTTTAAAATGCGGAAAATGGATGGGAAGCCCCATATGACCCACTGTGAAGACCATATCTTGGCCAATATTTATCAGATTCTTGAGCGGAATACCTTAATCGATTCGTGGATCGATTCGCCATTATTCTGCATCAAAATATACAAACAAAATATTTTTTATATTTTTTGTCAAATTTTCTGGCCCATCCCCTTTAAAATGCGGAAAATGGATGGGAAGCCCCATATGACCCACTGTGAAGACCATATCTTGGCCAATATTTATCAGATTCTTGAGCGGAGTAGCTTAAACGATTTGTGAATCGATTATCCACCAATCTGCATCAAAATCTGGCAACAACATTTTTTTAAATATATTTTGTCAAACTTTCTAGGGGATCATGTAGAGGACAATATGACCCACTCCTAAGGATATATCTTGGAGAAAATGTATCTGATCCTTGAGAAAAACGTGTTAAATTATTTCAATTTCGACAAAACACTTTAAGTTCGGTAACTTACTCAACATAGCAGGAGTCTTAGATTTGGTGCCATTATCATCCATGTAGGCAATGCCCAAAGTGTAGAAAAGAGCCTGACCAACTCCCGAAATCAATTGAGCCACAAACAGGATAAGTTGCGGCACCCACTGACCAACTTCCTGGATACAACCAGCCGCACTTGTCTGGCACACTTTCTGATCTTTCTCCTTCTGAGCCAAGGTTTCATTAATTTGGCCATATTCCCTGGTTAGTTTAAGTGCATCTTCTCCGGCGCCGTAGATGAAATGCAAGGAGCTGGACAGCAGGCAAAAGGCCACGAAGGTGAGCAAACCTAAATGGCCAACTATTAGGTACATTTGAATGGCTTTAAAAAATTGCCTGTTTTACCCACCTACACCCATCCAGCGGGGTCGATGCCCATTTCCAGCGTAATAACCCATGATTGCCGCCGTCAACATGGTGCTGATATCATTCCCCACCGAGATGATGCCTGATATCTTTGTTGGGATTTTAAAGCGCTTCTCCATGGTCGTAATAGTCCCATTGAAGTAGGCGAAGGTCATTGCCAAAACACAGCCGGCAAAGCCATACAGCACCACATACATTTTCTCGGTGGCGAATCTGTAATTGGTCTAATAAAAAGAGGCTCTCGGAAGGTGTGTTTATGGCTGGCATTACCTTTGAAGGAATGGCCCCTTGCATATCCAAAATCCACAGCGAGTGTCTTTGCTATCGTCTTCAGGGATGGGTTCAGTTTCGGGAGACTTTGTTGACTTCTCCGGGTCCGAAAAGGATTTATCCAGGAAGGGAACGTCTTCTTTTGGCTCGGCACTTATCTCCTTCGTATCAGTCATGTTAACCGAACTCTCCGACGAGTTGAACGCATCTATTCCGAATTGTCAGACGAACTGATATAGTTTGTCCCAGATGATCCGGCGAAAAAGCTTTTGAATATCTTATCAAGGCAAACAGATTACCCAGGTGGGGATCAGACAAGGCGTCAGGTATGATATACAAATTTGAACAAAGCAAATTGATGGCGCTTCCTTATCATGGTGATCCACGGTTTCGGAAATGTATGAAATTCTGGGATGACGCCCGTAATCTTATCCCAATCCGTAGATAAAAAGAAAACCAAATTTAGCTGCCAAAAATGCTGGCAATAAACCTTTATTGTCCGGATTCTAATTTCTTATCATTATCAATGTTGTGCTCCTTCAGTTCCATCACCTCATTTTGTTTATTCTCCGGTTTTTTCTCATCGTCATCAAACACTTGCATATCTTTGGCATAATACCACACCCCGATGTTCAAAAAGCTGCCCACGAAGATGAGGGAGGCACACGCCACGTTCATGGAATATCTAAAGAATAAAATTCTTTAACTATGTCATACTTAATTATGGATAACTTACCTAAGAGATTTGGTATCGTAGATCCAACAGTTACCTTTGGAGCCACAAGTCTTTCCCCAAACCAGGCAATAGCTATCCCACATCCAGCCAAAAACAATAGGACTGGGAATAAAGGCTAGAATGGATAACACCATACCGTTGAAGCCCATGGAAAAGGTTTTGTCCTCTCTGGGGACGCAGCGAAGACCCAGGAGAAGATTACTGGACCGAGCCGTAGCTCCGACGAACTTAAGGAAGCACATGACCGCCAGGAAGATGAGGAACTGGTTGAAGCAATCCACCGGACAAGCTTCATCCAAGGCTATGAGCGACGGAGCTGTTGCATTCATCGTGGCAGAGAGACCCAAAGAGTTGCCCATGCACTGGCAGCCGGTGAAGATGATCCTTCCCTGCTCATCCACTCCCCTATCGGTGCAGCCCGCATGGCAGGGGGAGATGAAGGTAATATTGTCCGGACTACAGACTGGAGCATAGTGGACGTATTCGCAGTCACAGGATGCGCTGCAGTCATCCGTGAGCGGGAGAATGGACAGCGAATTGGCCCTGTCGCCTTCTTCGCAGCCAATAAGGACATAGAGGATAATCCCAGCCACTGTCAGATAGTCGACCACAAAATTCCAGGCAGCCATGGCGCGTGCACTCGGCTTGTACTTGGTTATGACGTATCCGGAGATAAGAACGCCAGCGGCAGAGAATCCCAGAGCCCAAGTTCCTGTCGCCATGTTCGCCAGGGAAGCCGACTGCCTGTACTGAATCTCCATGTACTTCGGCGTGAATATCCAGTAGGGCATGTAGCCGAAAATGTAGAGTATCGACGACAGGGAGTTGTAAACATAAACTTTGTTGGCCGCCAGGCGTTTGAGGGACTGCATCATGTCGCTCCAGGAGCGCTCAGCCAGCGGTGTTATGTCGTCTCCTTCTGCCTTCAGTCTCTTCACTCTAGCCTTGGGCATCTCCTTGGGAAACATACCCACAAAGAATGCCGATATCAACAGTATTATTGTAAGGAAGATCCAGCCCAGCCACCAGGCGCCCATCCAGCGAGGATCCTTGGTAGTGATAAGAGGTGTCTTGAAGGGATCTATGTAGATGCGAAGGCAGAGGGAGACCACGGAGAAGCCCATGGCAGGACCCAGCATTCGTATAAAAGCACTCCAACCTGGGGAAAAGGGTTTATTTTTTAATTTTCTGAGAAAAACTACAATTAGTAGCCGTACTTAACATGGCAGGAGTCTTGGCCCTGTCCGAATTATCATCCATGTAGGCCAATCCTGGGGCATAGTAGAGAGAGCATCCAATGCCTCCGATAAACTGCGCCACAAAGAACATCACGATGGGCATATAATCACTAGTGTCCTGTACACAGTCGAAGTCCTTTTCGTAGCACAAATTCTCATCCTTGGTGGTGTGGTTTAGAAGGCTCTCTTGGCCTCCATATTCCTTGGTCCATTTTAAAGCCTCCTCACCGGGACCATAGAATACGTGGGGCAAGAGCATGAGAACACAAAACAGGGCCATAATGATAAGACCTAGGTTCAGAATGAAATTAAAGTTAAAGGAGCCTCTTTATAGTTGCTTTTTAATTTACCCAGAGCCACCCATCTTGGTCGGTGTCCTCGACTGGCGTAGTAGCTCAAAATGGCCGAGGTGAAAACCGTGCTAATATCGTTACCGACGGTTATGAAACCAGATATTTTGGTAGGTATATTGAATCGTTTCTCCAGCGTCGTAATGGTTCCAGTATAGTAAGTAAAGGCCATGGCCATAAAACAGCTAGCTATTCCGTAGACAATGACAAACGTGTGGGTTTTGGCATATCTGTGTAGAAGGTATATATTTGGTAGAAACTGATCGGATAATCACTCTAATTTCTACCTCTGCAGTGTGGGTCCCTTGAAAATAGAGAACCCACAGGAAGTATCTGAATGTTCCAGCTCTGAAACATTTTGTTCAGCTTTTTCATCCTTCAGGAACGCGGCCTCAACCGAATCCTTCTCTTCGCTAGCCATCACGATACTACGCTGTCAAACAACTTGAATATACTGATGTCATGATCCAGAGGCTAATTGCAGTTGACTTGTGGTCCGGGGTAAACAAAGCTAATTCCAAAACATCAAGATAAGTCGGCGTCAACCTTCGCTTTTATAGTATATAGTCTGTCGTTATAGTCCGTCTGAGATTTATCTCAGCTTTATCTGTGGACTAATTAAGCCATACGAGTGCATAAAATGAAATAAGCCTACTGTTATAATACAGTTTATTATAGTAAAGGACTCTATGGGGGAAATCACACATGGATATTGACATATCAAGGCACCAAACTCTCACTCACACAGTTCTTAGGAATAATATTAACTTAGGACTACATCTCTGTATTCTTCTCGTTGCTGGCCTCCTCCTCGTGCTGGACAATCTGCATTTCCACCTCCTTGACCTCCTCGTCGAAGATTTTCAGGTCCTTGGCGTAGTACCATACCCCCAAATCAAAGACGGCCCCGATAGCAATAAAGACAGCAGCGGTGAAGTTTAGAGTGTATCTGAAAAAAGGACTCTGATTAGTTTTGGGTCACATTGTGATCACAATTCTGTGAAACTCACCTCATGGACAGCGGATCGTAGAGCCAACAATTGCCCTTGTTGGTGCAAGTCTTGCCCCAAACCAGACAGACTCTGTCGAAGACCCAGCCGAAGAAAATAGGGCTGGGTATAAAGGCCAGCATTGAGCAAAGGGTCATGCCAAAGCCCATGGCAGCGGTTTTGTCCTTTTCCGGTACACAGCGAACGGAGACCAAGAAATTCGAGGCCCTGCCACTGGCTCCCACAAATTTTAGACAGCACATCACGGCCAAAAACACCACGAACTGCGTCCAGCAGTTGACAGGACAGGAACCTGGCATAGCCTGACCATTCGACAAAGACTGAAAATATTGGGTGTGTCGTGAGTATCTCAATATAAGTAAGGGATAAAGTTTTACCTCCAAGTTGGCTAGACTCGTGTCCAGGCTTGAGTTGTCGCTGTTCAGATCGAAGCTAGTAAGCCGCTTGAACTGGCTTGTGGAATTTCCATCCTCGTTACCAGGAATGCAGGAGCAATCGTAAAAGATCTGTTAACAAAGGGAGATAAATGGGTATCCAGAATAATCTGTAATATTTTTTTTAGGCTTAGACTTTACCTTCTTTCCTTCAGAATTCACATGAAGGCTCTTACAGCCCGCGTGACAGGCGGATATGTAGGTCATACTGTTCTCTCCACAAACCGGCGAATACCGGACATAATCACAGGCACAGGCGGAATTGCAGGTCGTGGCGTTGCCAGCCAGGGAGCTGTCGTGAATATTCACAATCACGGAGCTCTCGTTACCCGGACATCCAATGAAGGCATAGGCCAGGATTCCAGCCACTGTCAGAAAGCCAACAATCACATTCCAGGCGGCCATGTAGCGGGCTCTGGGCTTATATCGGGAAATTATGAAACCGGAGAGCAGGACTCCCACGGCTGAGAAGGCGAGGGCCACGGTTCCGGTTACCATGGAGGATGTGGCTGCCGACTGGCGGTACTGCACTTCAATGTACTTCGGCGTGAAGATCCAATACGGCGTATAGCCCACCAGATAGAAGATGCTCGACAGGGTGTTGCACATGTAGGTCTTGTTGGTGATGAGGCGCTTGAATGTCTTCAACATGTCATTAAAGGAAGCCTTCGACTCGGGGGTCTTTTGATCCAACTCCGCCGTCAGACGTTCTTTTTCCGTACTCTTCACGGAGAGTCTCTCCTTTTCTCGCCGGCGATTCTCCTCGACTTTCCTACGTGCCACTGCTCGTGGCAGCTCCTTGGGGAACATGGAAAGAAAAACTCCGGAGAAGGCAAGGAGTCCGCCCATCACCAGCCAGCCTAGCCACCAGGCACCCAGCCAGCGGGGATCCTTGTTGTTGATGACAGGATGCATCTGAGGGGCAATATACAGGCGCAGGCAGAAGGAGGCCAGTGCATATCCGATGGCTGGACCCAGCATCCTCAGGAAGTATGAGAGGCCTAAATGGAAAAAATAGTATGATATCCTCTGATTAGATAGTTCGACACAAGCTAGTGGGTTTTCCCCAAAATAAAATCATAAAAATGTTGATAAAGGAATTCTCAAAACGCTGTATAAGTAACGCCCCTCAACTAGTAGTCAAATCTCTTATCTCTCAGCCTTTATTGGGGCTTAAAATGATCAAGATACAATGGATGAGGCCCCTTTTCTTGGAACCAGTAAAATTATTTTAATTTCACAACAATCTTTTACTTACTCAGCAAAGCCGGCGTCTTGGACTTTTTAGTATTGTCATCCATATAAGATACCCCGAGGGTGTAGTACAAGGATCCTCCGATGCCCGAAATGAATTGGGCCACAAAGAGCAGCAGTTGGGGAGCAAAGTTTCCTTCGCCGCCTTCGCATTCAGCTCCTCCGCCGTTCAGCCTACAAAGTGTCTTGGAACGTTGCTCCTCGATGGCCTCCATGGTGGCGTTTTCATCCGGTACTCCTCCGAATTCGGAAGTCAAAGCCAAAGCGTCTTCGCCAGGACCGTATAGGAAGTGGGGTGCCGTGGTCAACACGCAGAAGAGAACAATGGTTAACAGACCTAAAAAAGATAGTTTATACTTAGATTCAATTAAATGTCCTTTGGGGAATACTTACCAAAGCCAATCCATCGCGGTCGATGACCTTTGCCGGCATAGTAGGCCAAAACAGCCGATACCAACGTCTGACTAATGTCATTGCCCACCGAGATTATTCCCGTGTTCTTGGAAGGTATTTTGAAACGCTTTTCAATAGTGGTAATAGTGCCATTAAAATAGGCATATGTCATTGAAAATATACAGCCCACGATGCCATAGAGCAGGACATATGCCGTTTGGTTGGCAAATCTAAAAAGATTAAATAATTAAATGGCAAATTTTAAATATTTATAGTTTACATACCGCTGGTAAAAGTCTCCTTTAAATATCCAGAAGCCGCAGGTGACACTCTTCTCTAAAGGAGTCTCCTTCAGCAGTCTGTTGATCTCCTCGGTGATGAGGCGATCCTGCTCGGATTTCTGTTTCTTCTTTTTGGATTTTGGCTTCTTTGGGTTACCGTCTTCGGGGTCGAGATTGTTTCCCGCCTCCTTTTCCTTGTCGTAGGCTTTTCCGTTGTCCAACAACCTGGTCTCCGCATCAGACTCCTCTGCGGCTGAGGATCTTCCATTCTCCAAGTCTGGTTGCTCCTCAGGTCCCAGACTACTGGGATTCTCGCTCTGCACCATCGTTAATTGTCGATTTTGATTTCTGACTCTGATAGCGATCGCACTGTCACTTGGCACTGGAGCACCACCGATCCAAAACACACCACTTCGGACATGTACCGGATATGGTCGCTGTTTGCGTTGCTGCTCACAATATTTCTTAATTTTCGTCGGACTTTCACGGGCAATTAGCTGAGTTCCGGGGGACGATCCGGCGACTGAGTATATGACAACCTAACGCTGAGCCGACTGCGAATCGAGTGGCATGCTGGGCTACGATGGTAGCGGATCTTAACTGGATCGCCGGACCACAACCGGGTCCGGACGGAGTCTCGTTCGGCTTCAAAAATATGTGACGGTACGTCAGTGTCTATCACTCTTCCCTCTGGTATCCCAAATGTTGTCGAATAAAATATTATCTCAGACGATGCTATCACTACCTCAGTGCCATTTCACTAATCTAGAACGATAATTTTTGTGACCGTTCATGCTGCAGCTGTGTAGATGCCTGAAAAATATACAATTTGTTTGCCACGAGAATACACCTTATAAAATATAAACATAATAGACAGCAAAAGTGTGTGATAACTTCGGAAGACTTCCAACGGACAGGATTATCTTTCGAGGCGCAGGGGGCTTGCACATTGATGAGCACGTAATTTCAGGGAAATCTCAAAGCCCCACTATTTTTGCATGTTCATTGTTTTAGTTTGGGATTAGGATTGGAAACAAAGCCTTATATATAGTCTTCGTTATCGCTATCGCAGTGTGAGTCTCAAATTAGTTTAGTCGCCGAGAGGCAGAGGGCGGGAAAAACGATAGTATTCGCTTTACTTGGTTTATTATTGTCAAACCCCCGGATTTGGGGTCTTCTTCTCAGTCTCTCAACGTGTGTGCTCTATTATTTAATGTATATACCCCGATGTGTGTGTACTATGTACTAGTATATAGAAAGTGCTCATGTGTGTGCCCACTGGCCACAATTCACTTAGCATATTTAAATTTATGCACAGCTTATCACTTGAACTTTATCTTGATTGTGGTGTTCTTGATAAATATTTGACTAAGCTATGTTGCTTTCCCACTTGATCTTTCTTTGGTTTACTTTTTTTTCGCGGTAATTTCTCGAATCACTCCCTGCCCTTGCATAACTTACTATATTGTAACTATTGTATTCCGATCGCGGTTTTTGAATGGCGCGAACACGGTTACGGCGACGATCCCAAGTCGGACAAGACCGTAAACGAACTAAACTAAACTAAACTAAGATAATCTAAGCCCAGCGTGTTGTGGATTCTCGCTCATCTCAGGAACATTTCTCCTACATATTCGTTTATCCAAACCCCTCGGCAAGCTGAGCTTTAGCTTCGGTTTTGGATTTTGGGCTTCGTCTTTCGCCTTTACTTGTGACTGTGTCACTGACATCAATTCCCAGCCAAAATAGTTATCTCTCAGGTATCTATATTTGTACGCTCGTACACCCGAATGGGCATGTATTCGTTCAACTAAATTAGTTACTCAGGGTATGATACATGCAAAGTACATTGTCGAAGCATCTGATGAATGGCCATGAATGAAAGTGAAACCGTAGAGTAATTATGCTGATTGGGGGAGCATCTTAAATCTGGTTCTTTTCAAGACATTTTCTCCCCCAAAAATGTAAAATGTATTCTTCTATTTTTAGCTTAAAATAAGCTGGTACCGGCATTAGAGCGTATCAAGCATTCCCCATTTTAACAAGCTTATCAATAAGGAAGCCTATCGTCGAACTAAACAGTTTCCAATTTGCGGCATTACATTTTATATTTTTGTATTCGTATTTGTTGGATACCTAACAGGCTTCGAGACAACCTGCGGTTGCCAGTGAAATCAATCAACCCCCGAGATACATCCGAGTATCTCGGATGCTTCAATCTTTGGAATATCGGGTTTCGAAAGCTAAAGCTCTCTCTCTCATTCCGTTCAAGATCGTAAATGATGAGCTTACCCATCCGAGGGGCTAATGACAAAGTTTTTCGCCATCCCAAGAGCAAATTGAATTCATTTTGCAATTACAGCACAACCACATATGTAGGCAGAGCTTAAAAGTAATCCCTAGACATGATTTCGGCGGACAAAAAATATAGACCCACATATGCAGATGTGTCTTTAAGGGCGAGGGAGGACATCATATGTTCCGGCAAGGCAATAAAAATCAAAGGCATAATTTCATGATATCAATTGAGCAGCAATAAAATGCCAGCCCAAGCATGTTTATTATTATTTTTATTATTATTTTTCATTTTTTCATCCCCTCACCACCCCCCCGCAACACCAGCTGCCTGGCCTGATATCTCTGTTTGGGGTTTCCGCTCTATTTCGCAAAAGGAAGCCAGGAGCAAATGTGACCGCGGTTCTTATGGGGATTTCCATATACCACCAAGGGCTCAGCATAAATAACAACAAATGAGCGTTAGAGGGAGAAGGGGAGAGCACTGAGAGAGATGGAGATAGCGACACAATGTGGCATCTTTATCTTTGTGTGCGATGTGGTCCGCCTGTAAGTATGCAAAGTTCCATTGGGGAAAAGTGGAAAACTCGCAATTTGAGCTGCTTTCTTTATGCAGCTGGCACGCGCTCGTTCGGTTTGCGATTTTATTTCCGGCCAAAACGTATGCAAATGTGTATTTTCTTTTGCCACACAACCAACCGCCCAATACACCCAACCGCCCAACCACCCACCGCCCATTTTCATTTAACCACCAATGGGGTGGGATTCCTCCTTCTTATCGGGGCTGAGGCACACACATAAACAAGCGGAAGATGAAGTTGCCAGCGTTGACAATAAATAATAATTTTTTGTTCTCCATTCGCGAATCAAGCGGAATCGCCATGAATTATACAAGTAAAATGCAAAACTTGCTTATCGCATAAACAGCCAACAGGATATAGTACTGGCAGCTGGAGGAGCATTTCTCAGCCACTCATTTGGCGTCTTTGGAGTACTGAAAGATGAATGCTGAGACGGCTTACCAACGCCACAGCAAACACATTCCCATGTGGAGTTTCCGTTTCCGGTGGCGAAAACAGAGAGTGGGGTAGGACGGCGTGTCGCGGAGACGACGTGCCAACTAAACCGCTTAAGCACTCAATTTGCGCGTGAAAAGGAACTTGACACCCACACACTGAAGCGACCCAGAGACAGCCATGCCCATGTGTGTGCTTGGGCAACCGCATAGGCCCAACACGACCCCCCCGGCCACCCTTTATTCACAAAGCTCGCTCCCCCCCGTCGCATGCCCCGTCAACCGCGGCACATGTCAGCACTTTGTTGTGATTTCCGTTTCCGCTGTCGCTACATCCTCGCACCCCATCGTCTCATCCGTTTACCCCTTCGGCAGCATGCGTGTGTGTGTGTGGTGTGCTTATTGATATTGTTGTCTTCCTTGCATTCCCATATAACGGCAGTTAGCATACGTTTCAGTTACATCTCACATGTCCTTAAAAGTGCAAAGGGTAGTATGGAATTTTTAAAAGGATTTGTCTCAAATTAATATTTATTTAATCTTTGAATCAGTATTTGAATATCCTTAAAACTTGTTACTTAGAAAATTTTTAAGACAGTATTTATACATACCAAAAATATACCATACATCCACTGCAATGAAAGATATAGATATCTGTCTCTGAAGTAAAGGGTATTCACTGTTCTCTATATATTTCAAAATATCTCCTTTTATTGAGTCCTTTGTAACCCCTTGATAAGCGTAAATGTATTTATTTGTGACTTGCCCTCTGACACCGCGCACCCCCTTTTTTAGCATCCTGCCTGGAGGAAGCCACCCCCTTTCCTCTTTTTCGTCAAGGTTGCGTGTGTGTCAAATTAGGGTTAAATGCTTCTCCCCCACCATCCGTCCAATGTTCCGCTTGCCACCCCAACTCCTCCCCACCATGGTTGTTTCCCTTGTCTTCTTAGCTAATTTGTTGTTTTTTTCCTGGATTTTTTATTAGGCGCTGCTGCCTCTGTTTCGGAATACTTTCCCATGTACTTTGGAGTTTTGAGCGCCATACGCCCGACTGATTTTGGCCTTAAGTAGGTCTTAAGTCTTCATTTGTCTACTCTGGAGTGAAGCCTCCATCTGTAGCTCTGTAGGTCCTCTTGTGCAGTAAGCGCTTAATATGCCGACCGCATGGAAAACCCACAATTTTCCAGTCCAATTTTTGCTGTCAATTTAAGTTGTAATTAACAGACCGACGGCTGAGCACCCCGCCACATCAGCCACCTCACCCACTGAATAGTGGGCAAAAACCCAAAAAAAAATTTAAGAATATTGGGAGTCCTGAGTCCTGTGGAACACAGCATATGGCATGCATCTCACGTGCGCTCATTACGCATTTGATAAATTTAGCATGAAAGGAGGGCAAGGAGGATGGAAGAATGCCTTTCGAGGGGCAGGAGGTCCACCTTGCTCTTCATGGAAAAAATATGTGTATTCCGCAGCAAATGTCAAAATAGACAATGCACAGATTACCTGTATTATTGCGGAAAAGGAGCCCCCGGGCACTCAGTTTCGGCACATAATTAATCAAAAAATGAAAGCTCGAGCTGTCCGCTTTCGGGGCAGGCCAACATTCTCCGGATTTGGGTCATTAAAAGCCAGGGTACAGGGTACAGTACTGGGGACCAGTACGGGGCGTGCATAATGAGCTCGACTGCCAAAAGGATTAAGACTCGAAAGCTGCCCAACATTTTTAATGTCCTCCTTATGCGCTGCGGGTCGCTGCTCTTGGCTTTCCATTTGCTTTGTTTCCTTGACAGAAGGACCAACCCATACCCGAGTCCTTCAACCATTCACATTTTTAATTCCTTTGCTTTTTTGTATTTTGATTCCTTTTTTTTGTGTTTCCACAGCCAGCCGTTGATGCATCTTATGCCACTTTGGCGAAAGCTGCTCTAAAAAATAAGCTTAGGAATGAAAAACAAACCGCCGTCCAGCTACTCGAGTAGCTATTGTATACCAGAGGACACCTATCTATCCCTTTTTTTTTTTTTGAAATTTTAATACTTTTTCTGCTCGTATACTCACTCAATTAGAGACCCTTTTTATTTCTTCGGATACTCGGCTTAACCGAGCTTGGGCTCTTTTCTATTTTTTCTCAAGGGCTCAGGCCCCGTGACCACTTAAGTATTCTAAGCTCGCTGCTTAATCTGGCTCTACGATTTGACCTCTTTCGATCACGTTTTGTCTTTGTTTTTTAATTGAGCTTGGCTCGATTTTTCTTGCTTTTCTACCCCCAATCCTCTATGAATTATTTTCTTAACTTTTTTTGATAAATTTTATGCAATATGCTACAATAACCAGAGAAAAAAAGCAATTTCAGGAACTTAATTTTTCAGCGATTATGTTTGTAAATATTTTCCCACTCACCCCAAAACTTTACCGAAAACCTTTCCAGAATCAGTGCCCAATGAGGAAACCAGAAGACAAGCAAAGTCTCTTTATCATCAACAAACATAGGTACCCCCCCAATCATTCCAAAAATAAAACCCACCCTGGATGGTCTGAAATATGAATTTATTTTCCATACTTTTCATCTCTTTTCTCTTTGTGTTGTTTTTGTGTTCATTTTTTGTATTTTAAGTCCTTGTAAAGTGACCCTTTTAATTTTCGTTGCGCTGCGCTTCGTCGTATTGTTGCCACTTAATGTATCTGTATCTGTAGCTGTATCCCAGCGTTCACCCTCAGTGAGTTTTCCGGCGTTTCCCTCGGCTTTTGTCATATTGTTAATATATTCAAACGGGGCACTTTTTGCGGTTTGACACGCTTGTTCTGTTCTGATTCCTCGATATGATCTCTGGGTTTCGGTTTCACGGAGTTCTCTGGGTGGAGTATCTGCCCGATTGAACGCATTAAGGTATCTCCCGATGATGAAAAAGTTTAATTTGCATTCAACTTTTTAATTGCATTTGTGCAGAAAGTATTTTTGTCTGCTTCGATGAAATTTCCGGCAAGTTTATTTCTTAATTTCATTAAAAATAATATAGAAACTAAAAAGGCAGGGTACAGGAACTAGCCCCCATCTTGAAAACTTTGTCTCTAATCAATGGTCCGAGCCAAAGGCATAACTCAACTATTGAGCACTCTAACTAAATTAGTTGGAAAATTAGATTGTCTTGGGAGAGCGACTTGCATTAATTTCGGAGCGAACAAGGAGCCACAGCTTCCGAATACCAATGCCAGGACCGAATCCTAAAATGGC